CGTCAAACTCGTGGATGGACGCGGCGGCAGGCGGCGGCCGTTGTCCGTCAGTGAGCGACTCGAGCGAAGCCGGCGAAGCTGGCGGGTGAACCGGCGAGCTTTGGCGGGCTGGAGAAAGCTCGGGAGCGCGCTGGGCGCGGCGCTTCTTGCGGCGCGGCACCACGGCGGGCTGCGGTGAAGGCTCGGAGAATGATGCCAGGCGAGTCCTCAGAGTCACCATGGGCAAAAGCTCGCAATGAGGGCATCCGCCGTCAGCGAGCGCGAGAGCCGCGTGATCCTCACCCAGGCAGGAAACACAGATGACGTGCCGGTCTCCATCGCTGAGCGGGGCGCGGCACGAGCCGCAGGAAGGCATCTTTAAAAAGACGCAGCTCTTTTTGTGAGAGAAGTGTGAGTCGCGTCAAGTAAGCGAGCGCACACTCTCAACAGAGTAAATACACACAGAGTATGAAAGGATATAGAACGCCGGAAAGCGCAGCAGGTACGGCAGTTGAAGGCGGCGAGGCCAGCGACTCCAGAGCTCGTCCCGCTGAAAGGCTTGCTTCCACGGCGCGGCTTCTCACTCCGGATCCAGTGATGCGTGTGCTTCGCTGAAGAGGTAAAAATCAGCTTGTATCAGCCTAACGAGCATATTTATAGGGTGAGACCACGCCCCTTCTGGCGGGACGTGACGATATGGGCGCGAATTGCCCCCATTGGTCATTACGTCACGCAGAGTCTCTCTCGATAGGCTGCTGCATTTGCTGCAGAGCAACCAATAGGCGCGCGAGCTGTTTCGCCTATGTCTGCTTGCTGCTGCAAAGCGTTTTACATTAATAAAAAATTAAGGATAATTTTTGGCTTTAATATCTCGCGGAAAAGAGTTTTTCCCCTAGCGTAAAGCTATTACGCAGAACGAGAGATACTCTTGTAAGAGAACCAGTAGTTCTATGTGAAATCAGACATTGAGCACACTCATATAGACAAAATGACATAATCCTCATTTAATAACACATCTGCGAAGATTCGACCGTGAGATTGGTAGTCGAATCAGGCTCCTCCTATCGAAGCATCGAATCTTCGACTATTCGGGGTCACCCCTACGGGACACACTGACTAAGGCCAGTTATGAATGTAATTTGATACTTATAACTGATCATACCCAAACGCGTGTTCAGCGCCTTCAGTCTGTAGCCTATTCAGTCTGTGTTTAAGACCTGCTACAGTCGATGGAAACAGTCAGTCTTCGAATGTTTCAGCAAGTCGTAAGTGTGTCCCCATCATTAGTCTGCTATCAGTGGCTCAAACCTCCATTACTAACTCTAAAATGACGTTTTGGAATTAGCAATGGAGGCATGGGATTAGATGCGTAAGAAATTAGTCCTACATACAAGAGCGTTTTAATGACAAAAACTTGACAAACGTCTTGAAATTCATCATCTGAACAATGTTTTGAGGTGTGGTAACTGTAGTATAAGCGGAATAATTGACTTCAGGCCGTTGAATTATTAGAAAAATAATGCACACCCGAGGTGTAACGGCCACCTCGGGTGTGCATTATTTTTCTAATAATTCAATGGCCTGTCGTCAATTATTCCTTACATATATCTCATGCCTGGGTGAATAGTATTCGCTGAGTTTTGTTTCAGTTTAGAGACGTGCTCAAGAAAAAAAGTTCACGGAGACGGAGAGGCAGAATGCACACCCTGTTTATTTTCTTTATTTTACAAAAGCACAAAGTTTCGTTTCGATTGTAAGTGGAAACATAAAAAAATAGACATTTAACAGTTTATTTTGTCATATTTCTTAAGTCTGCATGACCAGAAATGATGGAGTAGTTTAATTCAATTTTTTTGCTATGTGAAAAAAATCTGCCAAAACGCGCCGGCGCGTTTGCCGACCCCAGAGGGTTAAGTTAGGCGCTATAAATACTATTAAAGTGTGAGATTTTAACCTGTGTTAGCGTGCAGATCTGACAATCCATTCACACGACCGGGGGATTCTGTGATATATATATATATATATATATATAGTTTGAAATTAACTTTTTCTCTCACCGGCCAATTTGGCTACAAACTTTTTAAGTTACCGGCCATTCAGAACTTCTACTAGCAAAATATATAAAAAATAAAATAAAAATAAAACAGATTAACTATGTCACAGTTTATATACATATATATATATATATATATATATATATATATATATATATATATATATATATATATATATATATATATATAATAAAATTTGGATTTCATACATTAATTTCTTATTCAAACAAAATCTTATTCAAATAAAAGCCATATTGTAATATAATTGTAACATAGTGTAATAAATGTTATGAATAGAGATAAACATCTACTGAACCCGGAACATCCCTTCGATTATGATTAACAATTAACTTGAACTACTTATTTATCTGGAGCAATATAAATCATGTAGAAAAGACAATAAATCAGGACACTATAAAAGGAACATGAATGGCTGTGAGGATGAAGAGCAAGAGCTGGAAACAAACATCAGTGAAGAATGAAGGGTTTAGTGTGTTTACTGCTGCTGTTGGAAACCTTTGTGTGTGTCGTACAGCATCAGGTAGATGGAGGACTCAATGAGAATGAGATCAGTCAACAGCTCAGATCTGAGGACGGAGGACAGAATACACCTCAAACAGACACTTTGAGAGATGAAGCTTCAACTGACAGCCGACAAAACTACCATCTGTTCTTCACTGACATCCATGCAGCGCTGAGAGAACTGACCGCCACAGTTACAGAGCAGAAAACAAACATCAGAGAACTGACCGCCACAGTTACAGAGCAGAAAACACACATCAGAGAACTGACCGCCACAGTTACAGAGCAGAAAACACACATCAGAGAACTGACCGCCACAGTTACAGAGCAGAAAACACACATCAGAGAACTGACCGCCACAGTTACAGAGCAGAAAACACACATCAGAGAACTGACCGCCACAGTTACAGAGCAAAAAACAAACATCAGAGAACTGACCGCCACAGTTACAGAGCAGAAAACACACATCAGAGAACTGACCGCCACAGTTACAGAGCAGAAAACATGAGAGAACTGACCGCCACAGTTACAGAGCAGAAAACACACATCAGAGAACTGACCGCCACAGTTACAGAGCAGAAAACACACATCAGAGAACTGACCACCACAGTTACAGAGCAGAAAACACACATCAGAGAACTGACCGCCACAGTTACAGAGCAAAAAAACACACATCAGAGAACTGACCGCCACAGTTACAGAGCAGAAAACACACATCAGAGAACTGACCGCCACAGTTACAGAGCAGAAAACACACATCAGAGAACTGACCGCCACAGTTACAGAGCAGAAAACATGAGAGAACTGACCGCCACAGTTACAGAGCAGAAAACACACATCAGAGAACTGACCGCCACAGTTACAGAGCAGAAAACACACATCAGAGAACTGACCGCCACAGTTACAGAGCAGAAAACACACATCAGAGAACTGACCGCCACAGTTACAGAGCAGAAAACATGAGAGAACTGACCGCCACAGTTACAGAGCAGAAAACACACATCAGAGAACTGACCGCCACAGTTACAGAGCAGAAAACACACATCAGAGAACTGACCGCCACAGTTACAGAGCAGAAATCACACATCAGAGAACTGACCGCCACAGTTACAGAGCAGAAAACATGAGAGAACTGACCGCCACAGTTACAGAGCAGAAAACAAACATCAGAGAACTGACCACCACAGTTACAGAGCAGAAAACACACATCAGAGAACTGACCGCCACAGTTACAGAGCAGAAAACATGAGAGAACTGACCGCCACAGTTACAGAGCAGAAAACACACATCAGAGAACTGACCGCCACAGTTACAGAGCAGAAAACACACATCAGAGAACTGACCGCCACAGTTACAGAGCAGAAAACACACATCAGAGAACTGACCGCCACAGTTACAGAGCAGAAAACACACATCAGAGAACTGACCGCCACAGTTACAGAGCAGAAAACACACATCAGAGAACTGACCGCCACAGTTACAGAGCAGAAAACACACATCAGAGAACTGACCGCCACAGTTACAGAGCAGAAAACACACATCAGAGAACTGACCGCCACAGTTACAGAGCAAAAAAACACACATCAGAGAACTGACCGCCACAGTTACAGAGCAGAAAACACACATCAGAGAACTGACCGCCACAGTTACAGAGCAGAAAACACACATCAGAGAACTGACCGCCACAGTTACAGAGCAGAAAACACACATCAGAGAACTGACCGCCACAGTTACAGAGCAGAAAACAAACATCAGAGAACTGACCGCCACAGTTACAGAGCAGAAAACACACATCAGAGAACTGACCGCCACAGTTACAGAGCAGAAAACACACATCAGAGAACTGACCGCCACAGTTACAGAGCAGAAAACACACATCAGAGAACTGACCACCACAGTTACAGAGCAGAAAACACTCATCAGAGAACTGACCGCCACAGTTACAGAGCAGAAGACACACATCAGAGAACTGACCGCCACAGTTACAGAGCAGAAAACACACATCAGAGAACTGACCTCCACAGTTACAGAGCAGAAAACACACATCAGAGAACTGACCGCCACAGTTACAGAGCAGAAAACACACATCAGAGAACTGACCGCCACAGTTACAGAGCAGAAAACACACATCAGAGAACTGACCGCCACAGTTACAGAGCAGAAAACACACATCAGAGAACTGACCGCCACAGTTACAGAGCAGAAAACACACATCAGAGAACTGACCGCCACAGTTACAGAGCAGAAAACACACATCAGAGAACTGACCGCCACAGTTACAGAGCAGAAAACAAACATCAGACAACTGACCACCACAGTTACAGAGCAGAAAACACACATCAGAGAACTGACCGCCACAGTTACAGAGCAGAAAACACACATCAGACAACTGACCACCACAGTTACAGAGCAGAAAACACACATCAGAGAACTGACCGCCAGTTACAGAGCAGAAAACACACATCAGAGAACTGACCGCCACAGTTACAGAGCAGAAAACAAACATCAGAGAACTGACCGCCACAGTTACAGAGCAGAAAACACACATCAGAGAACTGACCGCCACAGTTACAGAGCAGAAAACACAAAACAGAGAACTGACCACCACAGTTACAGAGCAGAAGACACACATCAGAGAACTGACCGCCACAGTTACAGAGCAGAAAACACACATCAGAGAACTGACCGCCACAGTTACAGAGCAGAAAACACACATCAGAGAACTGACCGCCACAGTTACAGACCAGAAAACACACATCAGAGAACTGACCGCCACAGTTACAGAGCAGAAAACACACATCAGAGAACTGACCGCCACAGTTACAGAGCAGAAAACACACATCAGAGAACTGACCGCCACAGTTACAGAGCAGAAAACACACATCAGAGAACTGACCGCCACAGTTACAGAGCAGAAAACACACATCAGAGAACTGACCGCCACAGTTACAGAGCAGAAAACACACATCAGAGAACTGACCGCCACAGTTACAGAGCAGAAAACACACATCAGAGAACTGACCGCCACAGTTACAGAGCAGAAAATCCTCAACAGAGAACTGACCGCCACAGTTACAGAGCAGAAAACACACATCAGAGAACTGACCGCCACAGTTACAGAGCAGAAAACACACATCAGAGAACTGACCACCACAGTTACAGAGCAGAAAACACACATCAGAGAACTGACCGCCACAGTTACAGAGCAGAAAACACACATCAGAGAACTGACCGCCACAGTTACAGAGCAGAAAACACACATCAGAGAACTGACCGCCACAGTTACAGAGCAGAAAACACACATCAGAGAACTGACCGCCACAGTTACAGAGCAGAAAACACACATCAGAGAACTGACCGCCACAGTTACAGAGCAGAAAACACACATCAGAGCTTTAGAGACGCAACTGAGGGAAGAGATGAACAAGAAAAATAATGGTACCTCACCAAAACATTCACTCTTTTATCATTGATCCTCCAAGTAAAACACCATTGAAACACATTGCATAGTGTAAATGTTAGTGTAAAGTTGAGTGTGTACTGTGTAAATTGTGTTATCTATTACAATAAGCAGAGTAAATGTCATTTAACAGAATCATTATTCCTTCACAGAAATATCAAATCTTACTCTGGGTCAAGTGGAGTTGAGAAAGGAAAATAGAGGTGAAAGTGTGCTTGAATGATGTTAAATTCAGTGTATACATTCTCAGTGTAATAGAGTAATATATCACAATATTGCTTATGTTTTTCAATAACAGACAGAGAAATAGCTTTTTCAGCTTCACTGATGCAATCTGGCGGTGGACATATTGGTCCTTTCACCACTGAAATCACACTAACCTACAGGAACGTCTTCACAAACATAGGGAACGCCTACAACCCAATCACAGGTAATGATCAATGAAATGAGTCATAAATCTCAGTTTATAGTAATGAAAACCCTTCTGCTCCATTCAGACCTCTCTGCAGTTGTGTAATGTGTAGAAGAGAATAAAATGATCTGCCATCTTTCAAAACTTTTACACAGTGTGTTTGCTGATTAAGCGATCATACAGGAAACATCTGATTCTGTATCTCTTGTTATTTGATTTAGGTATTTTCACAGCCCCGCTGAAAGGAGCGTACATGTTCAGAATCTCTGTTTTTGGTTATGGCCCAACTGCAACTATTGTTAAGAATGGAAAGAATGTGGTTGTAGCAGATGCTCATCAGCCTCAGAATGTGTTAAACTCCTCTAATGGAGTTGTGTTGATCCTGGAGGTTGGAGATGTTGTCTATGTGAGACTTTGGTCTGGCAAGAGGATATTTGATAACGTGAATAACCACTGCACTTTTAGTGGTTTGCTACTATTTCCCTTAAGAGAACAGGAGCTTTGCAGAATGTGATTCCAATAATACTAAACCTAGAATCATTAAAATGATTAATCCATATGCCATGAATATCACATGTGACTCAAAAGTGTTTTGTTAAAGCAGTAAATCCAATAATGTTAAATAATATCAAGTTAAATAGTTAGTTAAATAATATAGTATAGTTTGTTGCTAATCCTCAATCTGTATCTCTTCATCCTACATACATAAATACAGTAAGAGAATAAAGAGACATTGTGGCATTTTCTTTTCCTCATATTTTCATGAATATTTCCCCAAAATGTTTGCGTTGATGCACTCATGATATCATGCTTATCAATCACAATAATTGATTATGTGGTGGCACTTTCCCAATTTTTTATTTATTTTTATTTATCATTTACGGAAAATATTACAGATTAAAAAAAATTCAATTACTAATTTAAGACCATTAAGTTATTAGGATTTTATAACATAAAACATGGCATTTCTTAAGAGATGTTCAAGCCAAATTTGAACTTGAACATGACACGATTCAGGCTTTGACTTTCTGAAATTTACAAACTTTATATGTATAACCATTTAATTCTTAGAATTTTATGACATAAAAATACATTTTTACAATTAAAACAAATTCAACTTATTGTGTAGCATGATCATGCTGAATTTAAACATTTGAATTTTCTGAAATGTTCAAATTTAAGAAAATATTTTAAAAAATATATTATTTACAATTTTATTCTTAGGATTTTATAGTACAAAAACATAACATAAAAACATTTGTATAGTATATATATATTTATAATTTTCTCCAGTAAACATATCTTGACTTAACATTTAGATATTTGTACAGGAAAACCAGACACAAATTGCGTTTTTTGGCAATTGTGAAAATGGAATGGAAATAAATTTAAACTTGAATGTACAAAACGGCATGAACCATTTTGACTTGTTCCAAGACAGTTTAATCACCGTTCTATATTAACACACTACCTATAAACATTGGTAACCATAGTAACATACAGTTACAGTGGCACACAGAGTGATACAGCTATTGTAAACATTTCCTATTTACTTGGCTAAATGGATGATTTTCACGTGCCATTTAACATTTTTGGTGAATATGACAATTTTGATAAATGTGCCATGGCACAAGATGAACTGGAGGAAATGGAGAAGATAACGTTAAACGAGAAGTGTAATGATAAATGGCACAAGGAAATAACACCAGCAGAGCTCAAGCAGATAGAAGACGACAATAATGAGGTTAATACAAAAAACTAGGGCCGGGACTCGATTAAAAAAATTAATCTAGTTAATTAGAGGCTTTGTAATTAATTAATCGAAATGAATCGCATTTTAATTGCATAAATATTTGACCTGAGAACAGTGAGAAGTAATTTTTTTCACATGGATTTTCAGTATACCATTGAATAATGACTAAATACATAAGCTTAAGCAACACAATATTGTTTCTTTTTGTTCAACCAAGTCCAGCAGACCAGTGCAATTTTGCTACACTACACTAGTATCATAGCAAATTCCTTGTTGCATAGCTTGCACACAACCATGCTCTTATCGACGCTTCCATCTGTTCGTTTTTATAACAAAATTTCCCATCCACGGGGCCAACCAAAGCGATCTCGTCAGCTTCTTCGTCATGAACGCTAGTTGGTGCGCCAGTATAATCGGTCCGCCGAAACTCACCCAGTGAGAAACGTTCCGCGGTGCAAAAATAAGTGTGATTAAAATATTTTTTTGTGTAATTAATTAACGCGTTAAAGTCTGTAATTAATTAATCTTAACGCGTTAAAGTCCCGGCCCTACAAAAAACACAACTAAATAGGCAATGAAGACATTCAAAGACTTTTTGTAACAGAGACATAAAATGCAGAGACCTACTCTGCTTCTCTTCTTAATGAGACTGTGACACATTCTACGCCTGCTGTTTCCATCCTATCACCACTAGAGGTTACCTGTTCACAATTAAGACTTTTTCACTGCGCACACAGTTACAGGTTGCTTTGGACTACATTTCCCATACTCCATTGCTTTGATTATTTCCACACCTGTAATCAATATCAGGGACTATAAATCACTGATACATGAGCTCTCTGGTTGCGGAGTATTGTTTAACTATTGTGAAACCTTACTGAGTGTTCATTTCTGTGTCTGCCTGCTCGTCTTGTGACTTTTCTGTTTTGGATATCTCCCTGTCTGCTGATACCTCTGCTTGGCCTTCCGACTATGAGTATTTGCTGCCTGTCCTGATCATTTGCTTGGTTTTGTACTACGTTTTGGCCCAGTCTTCACGGTTGTTTTTGCTGGTTCTGATCTTTGCCTGTTTGTTCATGATTAAGTCTCTGCCTGTTTTGAACGCATCTCGCTGATTAAAAGCTCTGCACATGGATCCGCACGCCTCTTGTATCTGTCCCACCGTAACAGAGACATTGCAAGAGTCAAAAGAGTCTTTCATTCTCCGGCAAGACGAGAATGGCCTGGAGTACCTGACCCTGGCGCACAACCCAGAAACAAAGAATCACAAGGATCCCACTGCATCGAATAGAGAAAATGTACGAAGATTTATTCTTGCGTGGCCCGGTGACCCACTTTGTCCCGTAGACAGCTTTAAAAAAATATCTGTCAATGTCAGAGCATCCCTCCTCGAAGAACACTGAAGTTTACCAAGGAGCCGATGAGGGTCAACTACCTCGGCAATATGCTCAAAAATATTTGTGAAGAGGTAGCTAAATTATTTAATGGATATTGCATTTTTAATCTAGAGAGTTACAAGATCATGTCAGTGACAGGACACCAATGCGAGGGTAGTTTGGGGTCATATTGGGCCCCATCTTTGTCAGAGAGGGAGGGAGTGTGGAGTGACATTTCTACATCTCGAGTCTTGCTCAAACATCCATCCTCCACTAAGACTAAACTTAAAAATAAAATAACCCTTTTCCATTTCTAGTCATCCATTAGCCTCAATTGACTTTAAAGCCAATTTATGTAGGCTAATAAAATAGTAAAAACAAATATAAACCAACTTTACAACTTATTGAACATTTCATTTTGTTTCGTTTTTATTTAATGTATTTAAAAAATATATATACTGTTATAGGACAACTTTATTTTTGTGTTTGAGTGGGGAGAATTGAGGTATTTGAACTGAAGTAAATGGCAGCTAGTAGAGGCAGGTATATACGATTTATTGGAATTAATTTTCCGCCTAAAGTATTGCTGTAACGGATCGAAAAATAAGAGTGAATAAAACAATTTAAAAAACTGTGCAGATTAGTGGTACAGCAATGGGCTCTAATTTTGCCCCTAATTATGCGAATCTATTTATGTTTTTTTTTTTAGCCATGCACTGAATGCAGAAAGTAATCCTTTCTATTCACGTATCATCAAATGGTATAGGTATATTGACGATATATTTTGTGTTTTTTTCTGGAGATCAAGATGAGGCTCGAGAATTCGTGTCTTTTTTTAATAACCATCTTTAATAAGATGACTTGGAATTTACTTCTGAAATTAATTCTTGTGGGTACAAAAAAACGAAGGTAACTTAATTACAACTTTGTTTACAAAAGAAACTGATCGTAACACTCTTACTTGCTACTAGTTTTCATCTGACTTTCTTAAAAAAAGGATTGCCTAAGAGTTAGTTCTATAGATTGAGAAGAATTTATCATTCTGATTCTGATTTTATTGAAAAATCGAATATTATGAAAAATAAATTCTTGAATAGAGGTTACCTTTAGAATGGGTCAATGAAGCATTTAATACATCTCTAAAAAAGACGCGGTCGGAATTGTTAAAAAAGAAGACTAAAAAAGCAAGAAAGTATTCCTTCACTTGTATCACGACTCATTCACCTGAGTCTCATATGATAAAATCAATTTTTTAAAAACATTGGCATGTGTTGTCCTCGGATCCGGAGTTGAGCAAAATTTATTGACATCCTCCTTTGATTGTGCATAAACGTGCTAAGAGTTTAAAGGATTGTTTGGTACATGCTCGCTTTTAAAGTGATAGTCCTCGTGCATCTCAGAGTTTACTTAGTCAAGTCATCTTTTTTTATATAGCGCTTTTTACAATACAGATTGTATCAAAGCAGCTTCACAGAGAATACATAAAAATAATTACAAGAAGTTTGTTTCTAGAATTAAATTGCGTAATCGTCCACATGAAGTAACGCAGATCAAAAATATTGTTGAATAATTAAATGTCCCCAACTAAGCAAGCCAAAAGCCAAGGTAACAGTGGCAAGGAACCAAAACTCCAGCAGGTGACAGAACAGAGAAAAAAACCTTGGGAGAACCCAGGCTCAGTCGGGGGCCAGTTCTCCTCTGGCCAACGAACAAACAGTGTGTGATTATGATTCAGGCAACATTACAGGTCAAAAGTCAAATTGGATCAGAACATTCACAATAAAAAAGGTACTTAGTCCGATAAAAAATGGGAATTATCGTTGTGGGAATTGTGCTCAGTGTAACAATACATTTAAAACGTCTGTTTTCTGTCATCCAAGACAGTGGACTGATTGTTGTAATTGTATACAATGACGTTGATAATGTGGTGATGTGGTGGTAATTATGTGCCCACAATTAGTTGAAGTGGTTACAGGTGTAGCCTTGTTTAGTGGTCATGTGCTTTGTTTTAAATGTGATGAGTTTGAAAATTTGTGTATGCCTGATGAAGGTCGTGAGACCGAAACGTTGCTAATAAATTTTGTTACAAGCAAGTTCTGATAGTGTGCGGGAGTTCCTCCTAATCTTTTAACATACCATACCTTCATTTTATGTATGATTTTTGTGGCCCTCCATTTATGCTGCAGAGGACTAATTGTTGATTAAACATGATGAATGTATTTATGATTATTAATTTCCTGGATTAAACACTTCAATTTAATAGATAAACAGTACTGTTATTAATGTTATAATAATATAAATAATTAAATAATAAAAATATTATTATTATTTTATATATATATATATATATATATAAAATGAATAACTTTAAACATAGTATTTATGGAATGGACCACTG